CAAAGTTTTATTAAGGAATAAGTATGATAAATATGTACATATGAAAAGTAATAGATAATAATTATAATCTTTTAACTTTGTTTAAATATATAAATGGTTTATTTTAATTGTATTTTTTGACACATCATTGTTATATGTTTATGTAGCCCTATTTTGAAATATATCATTTTAATACGAATACAAAGAAGCTTCTAACATGTTGTTACATTGACGGTCCTTAAAAATTTAATATTGTATATCATTTTATTTTAATTTTTTGAGCCACTTACTAATATTCTTTTATAATCTTTTACCTATATTACAAGTGTTATAACACGAGGTATATATTTCATGTAATGCATTTATTGCATTTAGTACATTAAATCCAGTCTGCGCACTTTGTATGCTTTAAACATAAATCCCGCTTGTTAAGAATGCCATATATTCCAAATAAGTAGGATATACATCAAGTTGAACAAGGAATATAAGCACTTGTATTTTACTAGATATACTCCATTACTATCCCTTTGTACTTATCACCGAATAACCATTAAGTCTTTTGTAATCTCTAAAACAATCGTTTTATATGGATTATGATATGTGATTGCGTTATTATTCACTACATTGGCTAATTGATTCAGCTGACAGTAATTTTATTATCATTGACAATAGGGAACTGAAATCATAATAATACTAATATAAATTTCAAATATCTAGCTCTAATTTGCTAAGCAACAATAAAAGGAAGATAGGTCAATAAAAAGCATGTAATTTCAGATCAGAGAACTTTAAAATAATTTATTAATTATTAAACATCAATTAGTGGAATGTTTCGACTTAATTTAGTCTTTATCACAATAAATAAATAAATAAGAACATACAGAAATTATTCTAAGACCACTTGACAAACTGGAGAGAATTACATTTAAATTGAAATATTATACATGGTGTGACGTTCTTCAAGTCTAATAGAAATACAAAAAAATACTACTTCTTTGTTCGGAAGCGAGGGAAAGTAAAGTCAAGATGATAAATTTCTTGTATAAGTCACATTGAATGCTAATATAACATAAAGGAATATAATAGAATGCATGCACATTACTCTCACTCCTACTTTTTTTTTATTTTGGCATAAAATCCTCAAGCGACGTAAATACCCTAATTTAATTACACAAGAAATTCTGATATATTTAATAGAAAAGAATTTAATTATGCTTATCTGATAATTTCTACAAAAATTTTGATTAATTTCTGACTTGATTGAATCTATTAGATTTCCAATAAATACATTACATGAAATATAAACATTATAACATAACATTTGCATGTAAGAGATTGTAATAATTATCTACCTGTTACTTCATATGGATGTTTATCATTTTTATTCCTTAATAAAACTTTGTAAACAGATTTTAAAAGTTATTGTGTTATTTTACCTTTAATTTGTAAGCATTATTTGCAAATTTTTTATAAATCGTACATATTATTC